CACAGCCAGCGTCAGCAGCTTGTTGACCATCACCATCGACCGTTACTTGTCCCTCTACAACGCTCTGACCTACTACTCGGAGAGGACGGTCACCAGGACTTACATCATGTTGATCCTCACCTGGGGAGCCTCCATCTGCTACGGACTCCTGCCCATCATGGGCTGGAACTGCCTGAAGGAGCCCTCCACCTGCAGCATCGTCAAACCCCTGACCAAGAACCACCTCATCATCCTTTCCGTCTCCTTCTTCATGGTCTTTGCGGTGATGCTCCAGCTCTACGTGCAGATCTGTAAGATCGTTTGCAGGCACGCCCACCAGATCGCCGTCCAGAGACATTTCCTGGCCAGTTCCCACTACGTCACCACCCGAAAAGGCATCGCCACCTTGGCCATCATCCTGGGCACCTTCGCTTCCTGCTGGTTGCCCTTCGCCGTCTACTGTCTCCTGGGGGACTACACCTACCCTGCCCTCTACACCTACGTCACCCTCCTCCCCGCCACCTACAACTCCATGATCAATCCTGTCATTTACGCCTTCAGGAACCAGGAGATCCAGAAGGTGCTGTGGGCCGTGTGCTGTGGGTGCTTCTCCTCCACCGTGCCCTTCCGCTCCCGCTCCCCCAGCGACGTCTGACGTGACCCCCCCAGCCCTTCCCTTACCCAGGGTGGTTGGGGGGGCTTCTCTGTTTATTTAAGCTTTTTTTTTTGTTTTTTGGCCCCTTTTCAGCCCCAGAGACACAGGAGCTCTCGGAAGTGGCTCTTCCCAGCACCGTCCTTTCAGGCTCGACCTCTTCTCTTCCTCTATTTTTCCACTTTTTGAATTTACAGGAGAGAAAAACGTATTTTTTAGCCATAATATAATCTATATTTATGCTACTTATGCGTGTGTGAGAAAGGGGGACTGGGGAGATCCTCATATTTTCTTTAAAACTATTTATGATGCTTTATTTTTTTAAGGGGGGGGGGGCCATACTGGGAACACTGGCTCCCCTCTTGCTTTGTTTACAGCCTCGTTATTTACCTCAGATAATTAAAATGTATATTTTATACATTTGGGGAAGGAGGGGGGGAAGACATTTAGTGGAGGTGGAGGGTCTCAAACCCACCCCCTTCTCCCATCCATCCATCCATCCATCC